GCTGTGCGGCCGCTCCGCCTTGGCCCCTGCCGCCCATGCGGACGTGGCGCCTCGCCGTATTCACTGCTGACCTCGCCGCCGCTCGTGCGGCCGCGGCGCCTCGCCCTATTCGCCGTTGACCTCGCGGGGGCTCGTGCGGCTGCGGCGCCTCGCCGTATTCACCGCTGACCTTGCCGGCACTCGTGCGGCCGCGTCGTCTCGCCGTATTGGTCGCTGCCGCTAGGGAGGAGCCGCCGGCGAGGAGGGGAAGCGGCAGGGCAGAGTAGGGAGGCGAGGCGCCGGGGATAGTGGGCTGCCGCGAGGAAGGAGCCGCCGGCGAGGAGGGGAAGCGGCAGGGCAGAGTAGGGAGGCGAGGCGCAGGGGATAGGATAAGATGCGGTGGTCGAGTGGGTTTTCCCAAAATAGAAACTAGCAGGAAAGGGAAAGGGAACAGAACGTGCTCCACGCGCGGTCGGAATCGATCGCCGCCGCGATCGATCGCCAAGGAGTGGTTTCGATCAAGCGGTGGCCAAGGCATGAGGGAAATATCGACAGCGGGTCTAGGTGACGTCAGACTGGAGCGATGTCTTCGTTTCCAGGTTGACAATCTCATATTTTATGTCTCTGCCTCTCCTTCTTTGGTCATTAAGCTTTGATGATTTTTGAGATGCTCTCGCTACCTTCAATGGTTACCTCATCACCAGCGTGTTCTCCTTGGGTCGTGGACCATTAACGCCCAGCGTCAGTGTGTTCGGCGTTTGAGTCGTAATGGACCATTAACACCCAACATGTTCGGCGTTGGAGTCATCGTGGAGAGCCCATCCCGTAGATCAGATCATAATAACTTTTGAATTTTAGTTGTTCGTAGTATTTAGGTTGAGTGGGCTAGCTGCAGTGCGACCTGCCGTCAATGATAAAGTTACAACTTACAAATGACCCATCATGGCCGCCCGTAGTTTTGTCCAAGCTTTGTTACTACATGGTTTACTTTTTGTCAGACTTCAAAACTACAATCAGAGAAAAGAACCATAGTTTCTCTCCAGCAGGTAAACTTACAAACTAGCGGCGTATTGAGAACTGGGCATCTGGTGGTTCGGTGATTGAACGTCATGTCTTTTTTATTAAGCTTTGGAAGTTGCAAGGCTAAGCTTTTACCAAAGTTATTTGTATGTCTATGTTCAGATTTCAAGGATATGCTTCACCATTCAGTTGTGAGTTCTGACCACGCATGGGCAACCGGCCGTGGCCGAATCGATCTTAGTTTAGAGTGTTTGCATGTGATGATCAACAAGTACAAAACTTATTTGGATTAAGAATATAAGTAAATTAATGATATATTCCAGACATTTGTATAAGAAATTCTGCACCTCCTGGGGCCGACTACAGATCAGTGTGGACACTAGGATTGATACTTTCCTCAAGGAATATCCCACACTTTTTTTAGACTATGTGCACCATGTTTCAAAGGGATCATTGATGTAGAATCACCCGAAATATTCTGATTTGGTTGCAGAAGATGTTATCATCAGAGAAAACATGATTAACGCTGAATCACCGGAATATGGATGTCCCGTTGCAACGCACGGGCAATTACCTAGTCCTATATAGAAGGATTGAATATAAAGAGGCGAGGTGGGATTGTCCAGTTGGTAGCACAATAATTACATGACAGAGAGGTTGCGAGTTTGATTTTCTAAACCCACAAATATATTTTCACCCGGCCTTTTACCCCTTTTGTGGGCCGCCTTCATTAGGCTGCATAGGCCGGGTTCGTCGGCCTCAGCTCGCCCATGTGTTTTGCGGTAGTTTTATGGGTAGAAGCGTTTATTTATAAAACGTCGGATGACGGTTAGCGGGCAGAAGCAATAGCAGATTTATTATTAGATAAAGATACACCAGTACTCCCTCTTGTTCCCTCATATAAAGTGTATTTGTTTTTCTAAAAGTCAAACGAGTGCATTTTAGCCAAGTTTTTAGAAAAATATATCAATATCCACAATATGAAATTTATATCATTTGATAGATCTTGAAAGCTAGTTTCATATTTTATCTACTAGGTATTGCAGATGTTTCTGTTTTGTTCTATAATCTTGGTCAAACTCTCAAATAGTTGACTTGCACAGAAATCAATACACCTTATATTTCGAAACGAAGGGAGTATTTGACAGGAAACGATAAACCAAACACGCCCTTAGGAATTCTTTTATTCACAGAAAATTTGGACGTACAGGCATACAACAATGTTTCACAATGGGACAGAGGTAGTATTTTTCTAGACCACGAGAGTGCATTGAGCCCAGGAGCAGAAACTCCCAAGTCCCTAAAGCATTCGGATCTCTTTCTTCTTTCTACCAAGCAAGGCTGGTACACCACACAGCACAATTCGGTCAAGGAGCTGATAACATAATTTCGTATCTCCATGCTAAATTCAACCCCTTCATTTCAGTGTTTGAAGTTTTACAACATCTGGCAAGCATTACATTTCTTCACATAAAAAGTCTCTCACCTTCACACACACGTCGACACCCAACTTGCTCCACTATACACTTCCCAATCCTGCTACAGATTATGCAAGGCGTGAGGCAGGACGGCCAGACAGTTGGGGTTTGAATTAGCAATGGGTACTGCACATGTGTTTTTTTTTCTTTACATTAATACAGCTAGGATCAGATTTTACAGTGTACGGTAGAGCTAGAGGAACCATGAAATCACATGCTCATGGCTCTTGACGAAGAAAGGTCAGGATCGCCGTCCACTTCGCTTCCTGCTCCGTCTCCCATTGCCTGCAGCATTTTTAGTCCACGAAATATTACTCGCCGCAAATGATTGATATTAGCAATATCACAAGGCAGTCAATGAAGGCAAGCTGATTGAGGTTAGCAATTCCCACCTTTATCTGGGATAGATAACGATCAAATGCACCATCGCCGTAAAGGATCTTAGCTCCACAGCCAGGTCGGTCCACCAATCCTACTGCACCTTCATCTACAACCACTGCGTCAATTCGCTTCTCTCCAGATTTTGTATCTGGAATCTGCAAGGCAGTCACAAATTCATGAATATATGGTATGAATGCCAGCTCCATTGAGTTTGTGTGTAAGTTCAAGGAAAAGGAAAACAAAGTTGCTATCGGACGAACCTCATACATGGAATCCATGAGAATATTCTCAAGGATAGTCCTTAAGCCCCGTGCACCTGTATTTTTGCACATTGCCTTCTGGGCAATTATTTGTAGTGCAGCATCCGTGAAGTGAAGCTTAACCTGAAAGCCAACAGTGTAAGAAGCGCCAGATAACACTTGCATGTTTCCAATGAAAATATACTCACATTATTCATGCTGAACAACTTCTTGAATTGTTTACCTAGAGCATTCTTTGGCTCGGTGAGAACCTAGCAGTACATTATTGTATTAGCCATCAATTATAAGTTCAATAACAATCATATAGAAATATGTTTTCCACCTAATAGGAATTATTTTTTCTCCTACAGATCTACCTGAACAAGTTGGTCCTCATTTAGTGCTGCCAAGCTGACAAGGATAGGAAAACGTCCAATGAACTCCGGAATGAGTCCATATGCTATAAGATCACCGCTCTCAACCTGAAAACAAAACCAAATAAAAAACACTTTAGCTTTTACAGAGCAAATGCATTCACATTCGCCCTGAAACAAAGGCTTCCAAAAATAGCTGGCTCCTGAACTCTGGTACTCACTGATTCTAACAAGGACGATGTCACTTGAGCACTTGAAATACCACTAGTCCTCATGCTTGCACGGACAGGTGCCCCAAATCCAATAGAAGAATCCTGCCGCCTATTTACACAAAAGGGGGGTGGGATGCCCCTTAGATGAAGACTGACAGGAAACACCAGAGATAGCAACTTTGAAACAGGTAAAAACAATGGTACCTCTCTGATATAGTTTTCTCCAAGTCAATGAAAGCACCCCCGCATATAAACAGAATATCCTTCGTATCTATCTGTATGGCATGCAGAATAGAGAATTAAAGCTCACCCATGATTACATTACCTTGAACAAGGAAGGCCTTGAAAAGTGGATCATGGTTTAGATGGTAGAAGGCAATTAGAAAAATGAAGTTAATATGACATTTGTGGTGCAAAAAGTGGTGGCGCTTGGAGCAAGCTGTGGGGTTCCAACCACACAGATTTCGAATAAACCTAGTATTACAAATAGCATTAATCTCTAGGAGTTACTAACACCACATGTCCTAGCTCCTGCCTCCTGGCACCGCCACTGGGTGTAAAGAAACAATACGATACATGTATAAAGCAGCACGGTATGCATTCATAACAAATAAGTTCTCTTTTCTACGGAGGACTAATATGATGATAAGGTCACATAATTCCATATTTTTCTCTATTTTTGCTACCATTCAGGACACAGGTACTGGCGATGTGATACTGTAATTCCTCAGGCAAAATGTATACCATGCACACTTTCTTGGGGAAGAATGTCATATACAAATTGTGCTGACAGTACCTGTATATTATCGCCACGAGGATGCTTCCTTGCTCCTTTCTCAGGGACATTGACTATCTAAACATGACCGCATTAGAAAATTATATCAAAAGGCATCCATATGTAGAGACAATTATCAAGAAATGATCTTGTCTTTTACCAAGAATCATAGTACCCCAGAAAGATCGCATGATATCAATGAAGCAAATGAGTTCCTTTTTAGTGCATAGTAGGATTAATGTAAAACAAAATTATATGATGCCTCAGACCAATACATTTGCAAATCCAATAATGACATCACTATAAAAGCTCCAAAATGCAAGCTCACAATACACAGCACAAAAGAAAGAAAATGCATGAATAGAACTAGGTATAGCATTCAGCCACCACTACAAATTTCAGTACAATAGCATATACTCCCTCCGTTCCTAAATATAAGTCTTTTTAGAGATTTCAGTAAGGACTGCGGATGTATATAGACATATTTTAGAGTGTAGATTCACTCATTTTGCTCCATATGTAGTCCGCATTGGAATCTCTAAAAAGACTTGTATTTAGGAACGGAGGGAGTATTAATCTACGAATGATATACATTTTAATCCTAGTGGCAGCCAATATCTGCTTGCAAACGTTCGAACTTTCAACTTATAAACATGCTGCTTCATTGGAAGGTCAATGAAGATGACTCACCGTGCCTTCCAGCATTTTCAACAAAGCCTGCTGAACACCTTCGCCTGATACATCTCTACTGATGTTAAGGCTCTCAGCCTGCATGTTGAATGCACCCAACTGATTAATGATTCCCATACCAAGGAAAAATGTTCAACAGAAGTTAATTTGGATAGACCTTCTTAGTGATCTTATCAACTTCATCAATGTACACCATCCCTTGTTGTGCTGCTTGCACATTAAAATCTGCCACCTAGTTAATGTTCAAATATAAGACCCAGAGTTCACTTTCAAGGACTCTTAGTGAGAAGTCAACTACTAGCTCCTATTTGTTTAAATATATGTGCAATAAAAAACCATACCGTAAGTAACTTGTACAATATAGATTCTACATCTTCTCCTACATACCCTGCCTGCAGGAAGTTGAAAAATAAAGCCTTAGTGTCTGAACAAAGTAGAGAGAGAGAGAGATTCACATAGAAATATGCCTAAAGGAATCAGGTGACGACAGTTAATCATTTTTTATTAGTTGAATCGCTCACAAAGAAATGAAGTAGGCATCTTGATCAACAAGAGAG